TTTTTTAATACTTTAAAATTATAACGTTGTACTTAATTATAAATATGCACTTTATTTTTTATACGTACAAAGTTATTAACAATTTAAAGTAATTACTGGAAATGTGGAATGGGTGCTACTATTTTTATCACTAGTAATTTTAAGACCGTACTCTTCGTCCTGACTAGGCATAAAAATGAGAATAACTTCCAAAGTACTGGTCCAAAAATTGCTATCGATCAGTCATTTTCTTCCTTTAAGTCATAAGAAATAATTCTAAAAAGTAATTATTAGCTGATAAATCTATATATACACGCAATTAAGAAAAAAGCAACATTTTTTTTTCAATATTGCATTTAATTAGAGAGTACAAGAGTGACTTAAAATAAACCGATCATTTTGTACACTACATTGTTTTTATATGCAGGAAAAAGACAGAAACAGCTGTACCTAAAAAATTAAAGTCATTTAACGTCGCTACGCATCGCAAAAAATATTGAGTAAATGATAGTATTTACTGTCGACCTTTAATCAATTAATAAAAAACTCTAAGTTCAACAATGGAAAAAAGTACCAAAGATCATTATCTTTGAAATAGTTGTACTTTTTTTTCATACTAGTCTTATATTATATTTAGTTATATTATGACTAAATAACATTAATTTTAAATATTTTTATACGTATAACTAGAGTTGTTAAAATACGGTATTTTATTTTTTTGTTGTATAATATCGTATAGTACACGTATAATACTGTATAATACCGTATAAATCCTTGTGGCACCTTAAAATTTTGGAAAAAATAAACTTTAGAGTGATTATTTTTCATAAAACGCAATAAATAAACGAGTACTTACTGAAAAAGCCTTTAGCAAAATTGATGAAAACAAAATGTTCAGGGAGTAATTAGTTTAAGTATTGAACTAAGATATTTCTCTATCCAGAATTCCTGTCTAGAGAATGATTTAGTATCAACTAAGTACCCAACTATAGTCAATTTGCAACCAGAAACCACCCATGATGTTAAAAGTCTGAGAAGTCTGCTTTTTTAAACAAGTATAAATACACAATTGGAATTTTACCACATTAAAAACTTAAAATTTTTAATAACATAATAAATAAAATAATAAAACTCACTTTTTCTTAACAAAAAAAAATCCTATCCTTTAAATAAACTATTAAAAAATTAAAATATGGCATCTTACTATTAATCTTAAAATTGATAATTGTATTAACATTTGTTACCTTAAAAAAAATAACTTAAGCACTTTATCGATTATAAATTTTAATATCACAGAGTACTAAGAATTAATTTTTATAAAGTATGAAATATTTTATAATCTTAATTTGTATATGTCATGACATTATCAAATAGTTCATCTGTTTCATTCTCGTTTTTGCTTTGATGGACGACCCATCTTAGTTCGTAATTTGCAAATAATACTTTAAACTTAAACAATTTAAATCACAAAACAAAATACTTTTACCACAGAATAGATTCACCTGTTCTGTGCTTATATTTTCTTCCATTTGAACCGACATGCGTTGGCGCTTAAAATGTGACAAGATTATTGTGTGGTAATACTAAAACTATACTGAGACCACGGTTATACCGTACACAAGTCAATTGCTTTTGTTTGTTATGATAACCATGTTTCCCTGGCGGATCTGACAACTAATTATGTTTTAAAAATATATCTATTAATCTACAATAATATTCACGATTATAGATACATTTAAATCTAATAATGCAATCCATCTATATCATTAATTACAATTGCGTATATCAATTAAAATCAAATCCAAAAGAATATAAATGTTGATAAAGCATTTTTTTTTTTTTTTTTTGATACAGCCGGTATAAAATAATTTTATACGCGTGTATCATACCGTATAATACACATGTATAATACCGACTCACATCTCTACGTATAACAAAGTGAACACAAGTAAAATTGTTTGTTGCATGTAATCAAAAACTGTTGTAACCACAATACAATAAACATACTAAAAATTAATATGAAATAATTTTTTATCATATTTATGTTGTCTTGGATCCATGATAATCATTATTCCTTGAATAATTTAAAAGTTTGAACACATTTCGCCAATTTTTATTTTTTCAATGAATTATTTACCATAAAAATGATGAACATCATAAAAATATTACACTAATCGCATGGGAACGGGAAGATTTTTATTTTGATTTATTATTGCTGTCTACCTCGTTATATTGTTCAAAAACGAAATTACCGAGTTTTTGACATTTATTGTTTTATACTGCAAAACTTCTAAGATAAAGAGCGTTCAGCAGTTATAATTAGAAATGTATCTACAACCGATTAAAGTAACAGTTTCAAGCCATTATCAACATAGTATATACAAGTAACAACGGATTAACAAAACTGTAAATAAATATGTCTCGATCTTCTACTTATCGCAAATTTTAATTAGTAAACAAATTTATTACAACTTATCAAGTTAATTTGTATTTTATTTATATTATACATAATAGCCTCAGCCGAGGTAATGTGGTAAGAGAGGGTATTAATTCACTTCTGTAATGCACAGGTTACAGATAACATCACATTGATTTATGCACTTGAACAGAGAATAACACAAACGTTTTATGAATGTACCTAGTAAATTTATCTGACTTACTTTGATTATTATTTATGCGTAAATTACGCGTTAAATGAGTTTTTAGTGTAGTCGAATTAAAGTGATACGTTCTTTATTATAAAGAGTTCAATTAATTTGCAATTTATTAATAAACTGAAAAAGGAATATTTCTTAATTTTAATGAATTGTCATCAAAAACGGTTTAAAATATCGACCGATAAAGTATAATTCTCCAATTACAGTAATTGTTTTTCTCAGACTTTCTGTGGATCAATTTGATTATAATTATTATAAATATAATAATTATAACAATTACTCGTACAGTAATTTTTTAGTTTTTAACGATTGTAACACTGAAAATACTTTTACCTGGCTGAAAATACGAAGTCGGTGTATATTAAAATATAATGTACCTACCTATTGATAAAAACTGGTATAAAATTTAATGTAAACGAATTACTTATTTTTAAAAGAATCAAGTTATGAATAAATGTTTGATAATAGCAAAAAAATTATTTTACTTTTATGGTGATGCCAATAAAAAAGTTTTTGTAGAGATAAAAAAATGGCAAGAATAAAAGCTTTGTGAGAGTTTGCAAAACAAAAGTCATTGGAAAATCTATTGCATTTCATTCCGTAAAGGTTTAATAAAGGAGAGCAAATTAATAACCGAACCATTCTAGTAAAGGCCAATTTAAGTAAACTTGTGTAATATACAAACTACATTTTGTTTTCAAATGTAGTGCATTTTAATTGACACTCAGATAGAAAATCAATTATTTCAGATTATTTTAAAGTGTTTCTGAAATGTATACATTCTACTCACTCACATTTCGTTTGCATTATCAATGATACGCACGATTTAATATTTATAAACAATTTCAACCGTTTTTCGCCTTTCCGCTATAATTTGCAGTTCATTTCACAAACGGACATTGTTTTGATAACTTAGAGGGATTCCGCGCGGATCAAATATGCTTCTACAAAAACCACTTAAAATACAAATGTACCAAAATATATAATACGGGTGGCCTATAGTGTGTAATGGAAGGGATTTTTTTTCTAATATGCAGTTACAACGTCTTAAGCACGTACACTACACAGATTGAAAGGTCTAAATCACATTTGTAAAAGATGTGCTGGTTGTATTTTAAGTTTATTTATCACTTTAAAGTAATGTATACATTTAACATTATGTCGCCGCTGGTATTCTAGATTTTTTCTGAATATTATTTTACCAGTACACTCAACTATGCAATTGATTTTTGTTAGCATATTTCACCACGTTTTTACACTTTATTTCAAATAATTATGACGATTATAAAATCTATACTTAATTACTACTCCAAAAAAAAGTTTAAATTTTAATAAACATGCAAAAACTCGAAATTTTCTAACAAACTATCCAAAAAAATGTTTGTTCTAGTAACACAGGGAATACATATTTGTTCAATAATGTATCAACAAGAGTTTAAAGTACTTTTGATGTTTGGTATTACGAGTACTTTTAGAATACAATGTGTTTTTAACTTGTATAAATAAAGCAAACATATGTACATTTACATTTGAATACGAAAGTGGTAAACCTGTAGCTGTAGCAGTGGCTATTAAAGTAATGTTATATATTTTTGTTTAAGGCACCGCATTGTAATTACAATGGTTAACCGTAAACATAAAATTGAGGTTTTGAATAAAAACAGATACGAGATTACTATATTTTAAGTAAAACCAATTTAATTTGATGAACAATCATTAAAAATTCATTATACTAGTTTAAAGTAATATTTATATTAAATCTATGAAAATTGTTTAGAATAGAATTGTTATTTATTGTCAATAACCACAAATGTCTAAAAAAATGATAGTATAAATAGTGAAATACCGTTACATCAAATTGTCATCACATTTTATTATGTCCAGTTGTTGGTATTGGATAATAGAAACGCATTAACCAAACAAATTTTTTATTTGTTTTTAGACGATTTTTAAATTTTTTTATGTAGAATTCATTGGAACACAAATAATAATCTCAAAGTTATAATAAATTATAATTTTAGATAAAGTACCTCTAAAGTTGCATTACTTAAAAAAAACTTCAACGAAAATAATTGAATAAACTTGTTTGAAAAAATGCATTAATTTTTTTTTTTTTTTTGGATGATACATTCCTCTAATCCTACGCCGGTATAATAATGTATTATAAAAGTGTTTTTTTAAGATAGTACAGTTATAATTAAGCCAAGGATCTTAGAAAAAGGATTATCACATTAAAAAAATATTTATATTATTTTTAACTAGTTCAAAAATATCTACTAATTAAAAATAATAATCATACACTACATTTTATACTTAAATTAATAGTTATAATCATACAAATAAAATTTAGAATTTTAATTTAGAATTTTTGTTTTATGAAAACGTGGTTAAAGAATTTAAAATAATAAAATGATTTACAATTAGTTGATATTTTCCCTATTTAACTGTTAATAATCATATATTTCTGGAATAATATTTTAAATTGTTATTACTTAAAATTTCATAAAAACAAAATTGAATTTAAAGAAGAATGTTTAAAGAAATTTCATATTTCAAATTATTATAGAACAATTTCAATAACATATTTAATCATACAGTCATTTTATGGGATTTAAATTGTACACATTTTTTTTTAAACTAAAAGTAATCATGTAAACCTATTTTTCTCAGCTCATAACTTTACTAAAATGCCTGTTTACTTCTACTGTTTTGGTTTATTTCATGTAAAATTTTAACATCTCTAATTCCGGTTTTTGAGCGAAGTAAAGTCTGTGTCCAAATCTAAAAACGGATTATATCCGTTGAAAGTTCCCCATCCATTTCCAAACGGATAACCAGGATAACCTGCTGGTGAAATGGGTGGTCTACCCCATATACCTCCTCCACCAGCATACGGATAAGGTGATAAGGCCGGATTTGGATAGAAACCGGCCGTTGTGGAGTACAATCCGCCAGCCGATGGTGGTATCCAGTTTTGATATAAGGCTGCAGCATTTAGTAATAGCTGTTTGCGGCGCAATAAACGTTCTAAAATGGTATCAAGAATAGGCGTACCTAGTCCCAGTTCTAGGCCTATTCCATAACCCAATGAATCAGAGGTATCTTGATCCTGAGACTGTACTTGTGGAGTATAGGAACTGTGTCGGTTAGAGGTAACAGACGATGATGCCTGTGTTAACGCTCGGCTTCTTCCAAATGATACTGCAAAATCACTCGGTTGGGTACTCGCTAAATTTATTGCTATTAAATGATGACAAAACATTAACCAGACCTAAAACAAGAATAAATGTTTTGATTAATTGTAATACAAATTTAGAGATGTTTAAATATTGTTTTATAGATACGATTTAAAACATTATTAAACCAACAACACGAGGTGATTATAATATCATTGACCATTCAATCAATTAATTTTAAAAGTACAATATTGTTGAAAAAAATACATATAAGTATTACACAAAGTGAGTGTCTATAATTGCCGTGGTTAGTTTATATGAAAGTAATTGGAATTATTATATGTAAACAACAGCTCACGTCGTAATTTGGAATCCGCGTGTGTCATTAGAATTGTAGCTTTCGTTTTTTATTTCCCGTTAGGTTTTTTTACTGTAGATACTGCAATTACTGTTTAATGTCTTGCATAAAAAGTTATGAAATTACATAAATATGAATCCAAATGCCGAGTGTGTGAGTCATTTAGCGCACTTGTCTACCTTCTCCGTCCATTTTATATTCCTAAGTCATTTGCGCTGCAGCAACCGATTTCTTATAGAGCTCACGTACTAAAAAATAACTCTTACAAATTGCAGTTTTTTCTTCATAGTGTACGACATCATTCGATGAATAGGCTGCATAAGAAGAGCCATTAACAGACGTTGGCCGTTAGGCTGACATTTTGTGAATAATTTAACACGCATCCCCCTTTTATTTTTAGAATAAAATTATATATATACAATTTCATACATAAAACGTAAAAGAAAAGTTTTTATTTTATTCCGTTGACGTTTTATCGGTCCAGTTTATCTATTACTCGCCCAAGAGATCCCAAATGGACGCATTGTGTTATTTTTCACTCATGACAGAACTTGTTTGTTTCTTGGATTATTTTTCCCAACAAATTGCTACAATCATTCCGTCTTGCCACAGGAACTACGGTTTTTTCACCGTGTCCAAGACGAATACACAGAGGAATCTATTTTATTAGTAGTTACATTGTCTCCGTTGAGATTTTGTACGTATAAATATGTAAACATAATTATTTTTGTTCAGCAAATGTGAGAAAGTTATCGAGCTTACGGTTTAAATTAAAATTATTACAATCTGAGTGAACTTACCGTGTTTTTCAAGCAACACTTCATTTTGACATGCGTTATTATATTATAAAAAATAAAAATGAATATTGTATGCAAACCCTGGCGCATACGGCAAACCACGAATGACCGTTTTCACGTACAATATTAAAATATTGTATGAATGATGAGGTCTTATATAATCTCGTGTGTCCTTCACATGTCAACCCACCATCGCGGTATCGCTTTAAACGCGTATTATATCCAAGTATTTTTTTGACTGCTGCAACATGAAGAAGACGTTAACAAAAAAGTCAAGAGAACTTTTCCCCTTTAATGCTTCTATACACGTAAAAAATTCGATTTGCCACAGTTACGTACGGATTACCGAGACAAAAGAGCAACCATAACATATAACTGACAGGGATGCAAAAAAAATAATATTGAAAAAAAGTACTCTCAAACAAGGAATTTAATTATTATATAGACGGAGAGATTGTATTGAGCATTCTGAGCAAAAATGCATAATAATTTTTTCATCTTTTTTTGTTGCCTGTACACAGTACTAATATCACAAGGATATTTTTCAGGAGTGTTAAAATAAATAAGTGTGAACTGTGCTTTAACTTTTTTTTCGGTGGAACAATTTAAAAACAAACGACCCATCATTCCGAATTGTACTTCAAAATTATTATAATATCAATTAAAACCATTTCCTTAACAAATTTGTTTAGTTATTTACTTGAATATTCTTTTTGTAAATTATGGATAATAATACTTTCAAATATTATTTTTTTTTAGCTAAAGATGCAATCTATATAAAGTATATAAGTGCTTATGATAAAATATTATAGTAATTTTGAAAAAAAAAAACAATAACTTGTGAAGAGGCCACATAGTGGCGGAACTCCAACTGACTTTAGTAATTAAGTAAAATTAAAGAGCTATTATTACATAATTATTTTTATTAATGCCTATCCCAGATCTTTTTAGGTGATTTGGTGGATTATTAGGATTTTTTGAAAGGATAGGGTTTTAATGATAGGATTTCAATGATTTTGGAGTCGGTTGTGGAATTTTTTGTATCTGAAGATAGCAGTTTGTCATTATGGATTATTTCATTTGATATGTAAGGAATAGCGTTGAGTATACGGCAAAAACACTATGATTAAAAAATTCGAATTATGTTAATGTTCGACTTTTTTGCTGCACTCCATTGTTCAATACCATACGACCATTTTGGTTTAATAAGGCTTTTATATGTTATGATATTGGTGTGACTCTCAAATATAGTTTAAAAAAACTGTCAATTTAATATTCTAAAATATATAAAAAAAAAATTCCTTTCGTAATTATATATATATATATATCAAGAGTAATTAAAAATAATCAAAAGGAATCATAATAAAATAAAGCATTATGAAAGTATTGAACGATGACTTCAAATAAATCGTCAGATATTGTCAATAGAATATTAAACCTGAATAATAAATAAAAAATATAAAATTTTAAACATGCATATTAAAAAATTGTAATTTATAAACCAAATTGTTGTTGTATAAAATTATGAAAGGTACTTAATAAATAATAATTAAAGTATTCTAAAACTAGAAAATAATGACGTGATCAACAAAAACGTTGTACTTGAACGCTGATTAGTAATTCAGCAATTTACAGAAGTTAGTTTATTGCTCTAAATTATACTAGTGCATTAAACTAAACTCTGACAAATTTTCATTTGTTATGCTCATGAATATCAAATGCCGTATAGTTTGTACAGTTATACATCTCGTTACTTCACACCACTTCATTATTTTTGATGCAGGTGAAATGTTACGTTTCTACATATTTTTATTTTTTCGTAACTTTTAATGATCTAATGTAAAATAAAATATGTATGTAAAACCTATATAATTGAAAATTACTGTCACCGACGCTTCTTAGTGTCAGGAAACTCTGGACATTCTTCTAGACATTAATCAATATGGTTCGGAAAACGGAGATGACAAGTGCACGAAGTAGGATAAGGCACATAAAATTCGAGAATACGTTTTGATAGACAATATCTTGTAATCATTTATCTTATTCAGGTGTGGCTCTGGCTGGTCGACAGCGTATGGTGTTTTTTTTTAGTCCGTAACAAAATTTACAGACAGACGTAATTTAAATTGATTTTGCCTTCTACTTAGAAATACAGTTTATCTGTCATTGGAAATAAAGAGGAAAGTATATGAAATGATTGCATAGCGGGGGTACTGTTTTATGTTGAATGCCCAGGGTTGCAGAGGCTGTTGCTACCGCTGTTAGGAGATCTCATTCCGACCGACTTAAAATCCATTACTCGTCGTTCTTTTATCCCGCCACCATTTCTTATTTCTCTCTTTTTTTTCTGTTTTGCATAATATGCAAATATTATACCCGAATGTTCTACTGGAAAAACTGTACCACGTCGACCAACGTACAGGTGTGCGAATATATTTTTCCACGTATGTTCAGAACTATAATCAAAATAGGTATTTTCAATATATCATTGATAATATATTATTTACTCGCACCAATGACTGTATTATAAAAATATTTCTTAACATTTATTTTACTTGAACATTGGATTTAAGTTATTATTGAGTTAAGCACTTAGTGAAAAACGTCTGTAAATACCGAAAAAATCTAATTGGAAATATTTATTATGAATTTCCAAGGTAAAAATATTTACTATTAAAGTGAACAACAAGATTTTGTATAGAATGAAAATTAAGAAGACTTTTTTGCTTCAAAACCATACATTATCAACTAAAAGTAATTTTGATACAAAATTAAAAAAAAATTTACTTCATTAATGCAGTTTACGTATATAAAAGTCAGTATTGAAATTACAAGGTCTTAATAAAATAGTTTTGATACCTACTTTTCCTAAAAAAAAATATTATGTACGAACAATATAGTTACTGTTTTTATTTTGATTTTTTAATAGTAAGAATAAATTTCATAAAATACAAGTGTAATGAAATACGGGAAATAGTTAAAATTTTTATTTTACCTTAAATTAGTCTTCATTTATTAATGGAAAAATTGCGTTAAATTTTGAAATAACATTTAATTTGAAAGTTTAAAAATATCTTGCTGTTTACTGTTAAGTACAAAAAAAGGAAATTGTTATATGATTGTTTAATTAACTTTCAGTATAAAATTAATTATTAATAAAGAACCAGTTTCGTAATTACAATTCGCAATTCTAATCATAGAGTAATCAATTACTTCTACTGGCTTGTCTTCAATTAAATATAGAATATAATTTAAATTGAAACTTAGTAAAATTAATACAACACCATCGTCAAAGGAATTTGTAGTATCAATATAAGTATTAAGTCACAGTCAAAGTAAAATCAGGTTGATCCATTACATTTCCATACAAATATATTTGGCTTATAGCCAAACACAATATCAAGTAACTAACTGAACCATGTTTTTAATAATATTTTAAATAATTAAAAAAAGGCGAATGAATATTTTCGAAACGATAAATTAAATTTAATGCACATTTTGAGTGTCAAATGAGTATGTAAATTATAAAACCAACAAATACGTCCAAATTTAATTAAACTAGAAAAAACTTTAATTGATCAAAAACAAATATTTTTTTCGTAAATTTAAAAATATTTTTTTATTTTATTTAATAATAACCTTAACAAATTTAATAATAACATTAAACATGATATAATCTCAATAAAACATAATACGTCAAAAGAACTCGTCTTAAATATAATTAATGGTATTACTTTCAAAGTTAAAACCAGTTCGTGTCTAGCATTAATGTTTGTACATTTTTTAAAAAATGAAAAATGTTGATAGAAATTACATAATTTTTAATTTTAAATACCGTTATTCATTAAAGGAAAACCCAACCCAACCAGTTTCCTTTTTTCCATCGTGTATAGTATATAAAAAATGTTAAAATTTATTTATATTTGATTAACATAGATGTTGTTATGCAAAAAAATTAAAAATATGGACATTTTTATTTGTCGTATGCTCTTCGGCACGACAAAATACACATAAATAAAATTATTAGTATTTAAAGCTAGATACTTTACTGAAATCCTACTTGGTAAGTGTAACAGGATAACACATACACAGAGTTAAATTCAAAAATGATACTATGAATTATCCAGTGGCGTATTTTGAATGATTTCTCGGGTGGTGTCCAACTTTTAATGAACCTCACAAACGAAAATTATAGAAATGTTTACTGACGTAAAAAAAACTTACTATTTTTCTAATTACTATTTTAGGAATTGACAAATAATTTGAAATTTGAAATTTTGGTACTGTTGTATCTTAAAAGAAACAACCCTAGTGTCTTAACTTAAAGTAATAAAAGTTTAATAATAACTCAAATGTATTTATTATAGATATAATTAAACAATGCAAAACATACAAAATAAATATACACTAAAAACACAATAAAACAATACACAAAATGAAAACTTAATGTCACAAAACGTACCGCGCGAAAAGAAATTACCTTCGGTGCTCCTGAGGTCCTCTCTCCTCTACGATTCATTCTATTTCGTCTTATATACTAAAATATTTTGTTTTTCTTCTTTTTGCAAAATTAATAATACTATCGTTTTCAAAAATGTTTATAAATATTTAATTCCTGGTCTAGTAATAATAGATCAGGAAATTACAATTAAACGAAACATTACAAAAATGTTTTACTTCCAGCTTTACAAATGATAAACTATATTACAGTATACAGACTGATTTTTTTATCATAACCCACTCATTTACTTGTAGAATAAATATAATTTAAACATTATTTTTGGTTTTCTTTAGTTACACATTATTCTTAAATTATTAACTATTTAAAACTTTTTATGTTCATCCCTTATGCCTTGTAAGGGTGTCAACTTTGTCTTTTTGTCTTTTAAATGGGAACACATATTTTGAATATAATAAAATGTTTGGATTTTTAATTAAATAGTAAATGGCATTTGAATTTTTAATATAACTTTATTAGTTTATTAGATATAAACATTTAAAGTTTCAAATTTTTGAGTTAATATACATGTATAATACACATGATGATATGATTACAAATACAGGTAGCTAAATGGTTTATATGATATCAATGTCGCAGTCACGGATTGTTTATTATCAATTATGACTATCATAGATATACTTTCTGTATTGACAGTTAGTGTATTTATAAACTCACAACAATGTGCTTTACTACCATTGATAATAACAATGCTGTGTACCTGCTAATTTCTTTGAACTTGTTTTAAACAAAGTAACTCATAACTAAATACTTTATTTATAATAAGTAAACAAATAATAAAATCGCCTTTCAATATTGATGTTCGTAAATTACTTGCTTTTGATGATGTTTCAGTGTTATTCCACTTCGAAATTATAAATAACGATTCAATTAGGTACACAAAAAGCTCAAGAAAATCATTGACAGCATAAAAACGTTCAACTCATTTAGTCGCACATAATTGTTTTAATGATTTTTTAGTTATACATTTTTGACTTTCTTCGATTTGACTTTTCAACACATCTTTTCGCTTTGGGTATATGAAAAAATCTCTAACTTTAGATGTTGTTCCTAATCAATTTCGTGTTTCTTGTATAGAAGATGAATAAGAAATAGCNTTAATCAATTTCGTGTTTATTGTATAGAAGATGAATAAGAAATAGCAAGGTTTAAAACATGAACAGCACATTGAACAAACGTCGCAAGCGCATAATTTTGGTGAATAAGAGATTAAGCTCCGTTAAATTGACCACAGACATAGAAGCACATCCATCGTAACACTGTCCTCTAAGGTATTTTGTTTCTACGCCAAATGAATGTAAACTTTGAATAATAATATATAAACCTTTTCCAGTAGTATCTGTTGTAGGCACAAACTGAAGAATTCTTCCTTGATANAGGCACAAACTAAAGAATTCTTCCTTGATAATCATATTTTCAACATCTAAATATCGAACACACNTATCATATTTTCAACATCTAAATATCGAACACACAAAGTTACTTGTTCGCTTCCACCAATGTTGGCCGTTTCACCAGCAAGTATTTTGAAACATCTTTGGGCATTTATGTTTGTTACGATTTTATTTAAAATAATTTTATTACAGGATTCAATTATTTCATTTTGAAGTGTTTCACTTGTATATTTTATTGTTTCTTTAGCTTCCAAAAATGATTTTAAACGGTCATCTCCTTGGGCTCTGTATCTTAATATTTCTCTAAAATTTTCTTGATTTTCTTGGATAATTTGTCATTTTCTTGATATATATTGAAGTTACAAAGATATCCGTTATTGTCAAAAAAAAAAAAATAATAATAATAATAACATTAAAAATGCAAATAATAATTAAACCTATAAGGTAGTTAAACCCTAAAGTTATTTTCGATTTGTTAAAGTCGTTAAAATTAATTCAAATCTCCTGTTATTTTCTTTTATCAGAATTATTATGTCATTAATTCAATTATTAATTAAATTGTTAAACTATATTATATATTCAACTTAATAAATTTTTATGTTGATTATAATCGCATGGCATGATGTTTTTTGTTAATAACTAAATGGAAATAGCAATTTCACAAAGGCAAAATTTTTAATAGTTGCAAGAGAATAAATCCAAACGTTGATATTCTATTTCATACAGATTAAATTTTATATGCATAAATATTCTGTTAACCGATATCAAATTTATTTCACTTGAACTTTCATAAAAAAATCTCTATCATTTGTAAACTAATGTAATAAATAAACAAACAAATACAAAAGGTTTTTCTTCAAAATATCTTTAAAATATATATATATATTTTTTTTTGATAATTCTCTGTATTATTCTTAAAATATTGTATTCTTTGACCAATAATACAATTAAAATAAATAAGTATTGTTTATACTAAATTCTCTGTAAATTCTTAAAATATTGTATTCTTTGACCAATAATACAATTAAAATAAATAAGTATTGTTTATACTAAATTCTCTGTAAATTCTTAAAATATTGTATTCTTTGACCAATAATACAATTAAAATAAATAAGTATTGTTTATACTAAATTCTCTGTAAATTCTTAAAATATTGTATTCTTTGACCAATAATACAATTAAAATAAATAAGTATTGTTTATACTAAATTCTCTGTAAATTCTTAAAATATTGTATTCTTTGACCAATAATACAATTAAAATAAATAAGTATTGTTTATACTAAATTTATTTATAATTGGCTTATACATTTTTTTAATGAATTTTTACAATTAAGTTTCCTTGACAATTAGATGTAAATGTTGATTTTATCGACATTTCAGTTCACTTCGTTTTTTACCGTGAAAAATAAACTATCGTCTTGTGTAATTATTAAGATTTATTTAATTAGTTATTGATATGGCAAGTGAAAAAAATATTTTTGGTCAAACAAATGAATCAAACTTACATAAGGTCATACGCAGAGTTGAAGAAATATGGAATCGTCGTTTCATGCATTCCAATTGTGTTTTAAATAATACAAATAAAGGACAAATATCAAAAAAGTCAACTAAAGATGGAAGAATTATCTGTAAACACTATTAAGATTAATAATTAAACTAACTATTTCGAATAGAGAAAAAGTTTTTTAATATAAAATATAAGAAAAATTAATAATAAGTTCTCTTATTCATATATAACAATAATTCAGTCGCTTTACTTTAATTTAACTATTTTAATATTAAAAACCTTTTTTCGAAATTGATTATTTAATTAATAATTATTAAAATTATATTCAATTTGCAGCAATTATTAATAAAAATATTTATCCTATAAAAAATTCCATTATTCCAAAAAAACGCACGTATCGAAAAAGGAATAAAAATGATAAAATTATTCCAGAAAAATTGGTAACAATAATTATATTAATATATTTATTCGATTTAGTTATGTTATAGGAGTTTGTCTGATTCAAAAATATAAAATAAACTATCAACCCCCTTAATATAAATGCAGTAACATAATGTTTAATATTATTCTGCTATTTTTTCTATTAGATTTTTATGGGAAATTCAATTTTTATCGAAGGTAATAATATAATAATAATAATATTAAGTATAGTTTATTTGTTTATTTAAATATCTCTTTGGTTACCTAGAATATGATGCAGCAAAGAAAATTCGGAACACTTTTTCAGAATGAAATATCTGAAAAATATAAAAATGAAATTTTAAATTCAACAGAAAAAAAAATTATAGCAATTTCAAAAGACAATCCGCTATTAATATCAGCTGATTTGTTAGAAAAGGTATATTTTATTATGCTTTATTTCAATAAAAAGATTTTAGGGTATACCCTAAACCATTTTTTGGACTTAAAGCAGATTTCTTAAATAAATTTATCATATAATTAAATATATTTTTATGATCCGTTAAGAGTTTTCATAAGAAAAATTTGGAACGCAAAAAATCCGAAATAAAAAAACAACTTTTTGAGATATCTTCTAATACTACTGCTCGACCAAATTTAAAAAGAAATTCATCCGAAGAAGATGAAAAAGTCATAAAAAGTATACAACTTTTAAAATATAATTCATTTTCAAAAAATATGAAGTTTTGATTTTTGAAACAAATATGTAATATTTTTAAACAAATTATTTTAGAGCCAAAAGTTAGTTCTAATCCTTTGACCTTAAATACGCCGAATGACGTAAATTTACTTGCTCTGTCCACTATTGAAGTAATAAAAGTACCAGAGAAAGAAAAAGGTAATTAGTTATTTAATCTATTTATTTTATGTAAAATTAAATAAAAAAAGATTATTTATTAAACATAATTAATTATAATAATACGAGTTAAATTAATATAACTTCTGCAGAGGCGTGTCATTAAGGGGGTCCATGGACGTTTTAAACAAAAGTAATTATACGTGTTTAATTTCATATTCCAAAACCTTAAATAAACCTAAATAATAGTAAACTGTTCAACAAAGTCTTTTATTAATTTTATGAAAAATGTTTAAATATGGTTACACTTGCAGAAGTAATGCAAGATCAGAACACAAAATCTCTTGATCAGTATAATGCACCTTCATTTAAATCGCCCACATCATGGTATACTTCAGACACAATTAATGAGTACATTAAAATGATAGTAAAACGGTCAGAAGGTGAAGTTTATGCAGTTGTCACTGATTTTATTGTAGCGTATCTTCGAGGAGGTTATCCAGCTGTAAGAAGATGGATAAAAAAAGATATTCACACAATAAAATTACTTTTTGTGCCCATGAATGTATATGAGAGTCATTGGATATTGACAGTGGTTAATATACCTGAAAAGACTGTGACATCATATGATAGTCTTAAGTCGTATAAGGGTCCTTATCCAATGGTATTAAAAAATTTCTTAATTGAATGGGAGATGGACAAAAAAGGAAAAGCTTCTACATGGACATTACAAATAGGCGAGACATCTCGCCAAACCAATGGACATGATTGTGGGCCATTTACTGTTGAGCTGGCAGAAAAAATGTCTCGAGGAGATACAACACCAATAAATGCAAATTTTATGCCTTTTATAAGATTAAGACACAAAAATGAAATTATTGCTGGCGAGCTATTCAATTAATATTTTTATGAATGAAATTTTATTTTTGTATTTTATATCAATTTTCTTAATATTCACTATAAATTGAAATTTTTATTTGTATACCACCAAACATTTTTTTACTTTTTCTATGTTTAATTGTTGTTTTGTTATTTTATTTTAATCTTATTTTTCTTTGTAACATTTCATTTAAGAAATTCAAATTTAATATAAATTTATCTTAACTGAAATAATTTAATGTTCTTGTTATGTGAATATACAAATATTATAATATACAGTTATGGATACAATTAAGTTAAAAAGTCAGCCAATTATAATTTTTTAAATTAACAAGCGTATCTACTATCTGAACAACTTAATTTTAATTTTACTAAATGACAATTCATAAAGAATTTCATAACTTTTGTTTATTTTTTAAATACTATTTTAATTATAAAAAATTCTTTTCTGTATTTTTTATGAATGCGGTATATTGAATAGGGGTAACTAAACTTATTTGTTTATAATTCTCTAAACTGTTAAACTATAAAATAAATTTAAAAATGAACTACAAGTTCAGAATATTTCCGTTGTTATTATATTTTTGCTACGGGTATTTTTGTTATCTAAATGACCCAATGAAATCCAAATAATTTCTAGAAATCTCTGATAAAATGTAGATAAATACGTGTCGTCGAATCCTATCAAACTATCTTCAATGTTGTTATTTATTTAAAATACCATTTATTTTATAGTAAATAAATATAATATGTTATAAAAAAAAGTTAATACCAATATATTAGGTATTTTTTTTAAGTCGGGAGGTGTCCAGACATGGATGACACCCCCCAAAATACACCACTGGAATTATCACAGAATATTTTATAACACACGTTTTAAAAACACAATGAAATGCAGTCTTTACGAACATAAATACCTTAGGCTCGTTGTCGAAGAACTCTCTAAAAATTAAGATAACTCATATTTGAATGGTAATGCCCTACTTGACTAATTATAAATAATTCATGTTTAAAAATTATAAACTAAATATCTATACTACACATATTACAAATTATATCAGCTTTGAACTAATTGTCCTATTATTCATTAATTTTTCTTAACATTTAATTTTAAAATTCACTGTATTAACATTAATTTGATATAAGTTTAAAGGCATATGTCTTTTTGAACGTTATCAGACATTTAAAAGAAAAAAATTTCTCGCGACAATTAAACTTTCTATCACTTTGCTTCTTTTTGGGATTCTGAAAAAATTATATGATCAGATAATTTATATAAATATAAGATAACAGCGCCTATGAAATTTTTTATTAAACATTTTTTTCTCTCCCCCTCGTTGTAATATTATTTAACCACCAATATTCATAACATAATTAAATATTTAACTAAAAAATTAATTATTTGAATTTAAATTTTTGAAAATATATAACGTCAACTTAAGGCGGTGTTTAAGTTTGGGGTATTTAAACATTTTACAGATTTCATCGCTTAATTTTTGTTAATAAATATTTTATTAACAACGCTAGTATACATTTTATTAGTGCTAAATATTTATACAGCTTAAATGATAATAGATATTTAAATGACCCAAGCTTAAGCATCGTCCTAAATTTGTCCATTTGATAGTATTTGTTTTTCTTAAAATGGATTGTATTTTACGTTAAATATATACAAAAATGAAAGTTAATCCTGTGTTGTGTGTTTGTTGGTGCAAAAAAAGAAAGACAGATAAGATTTTGAAAATAAACGAAAGGTTTACCTTAACCATGGAAACATCTGAAATCCTACTTTAAACTGATTTTGTCTTGATGTTGTTAGTAGAAAATGTGTCTATGGATTTTTTAAATATAAACCTAGACTTTAAAAGAAGTATTTTAACTTTTTTTTGAACACAAATCTCTATTGACAGTGGTATAATCAAATAAAAACCAATAAACAGAGCAAAAAATTGTATTTCGTTAAAATTTTCTGGATATGAAGTATTGAAATTTGTACTAATTTTTCGGACTATCAATAAATTGAATTAGAAATATAAAATTAATACAGTTTTATTATGTCACCTAAAGCTACTAATTTAATTTTTGTTTTAATTTAGTTATCATTAAAATGCTCCATCACAGTATATTATATTATTTGGAATTCTTTACAAAAACCGTATTTCTTATAAATTTATTTTATTTTTATAAGCATAAAACTTGTATAAATTGTTGTATAATTAAAATTTTAGTAGAAGTCTTAGTGTCTGGAATCCAAAATTATACATTCACAATTCATCATACGAAGTATTCATGTTTTGAAACAAGATATGGATACTTAATATGTCTCGTATTAATATACATAATTAGTACTTTCACAAATATATAGGCCTCATATATTGTACGTGTAAATATGATTATAGGTACCGAACCCCTTTAACATTCTATTGGTAATGCACTATTTACTAAAATCCTTACTGAACAAATAGTGTTATACTGACTGTAGAGCACGTAGCTGCCTTGGAAAACACGTGTTGTACAAGGTGAAATAGTTACAGTAAATACCTACAATTTTGTGTACTAAGCCCTGTGTGCGCTGCAAACTTGTCAGGGTTGCTTGACGAACGTTAATAAACATTCCATAAATGTTAACTCGGTAAGAGCTCAGATACTTTTTGTGGTTTCCGCCAATACTGTGCTTCTTCGGAATTCACCATCAATCATATAGTCCGTAGTAACTTTCCGATTACAAGAGATTTACGAGCAATTACATGCCGCCCTCTCTTCTTGATACTGTTGGCACACAATAACGATGATAAATGACAACTAGGCCGGCGATGCGGCGGTTGCAACAGTTCTTCATAGAAAGCTGTGCAAATGATTGTCACTTGTAAATACTTTCAATTTTAAATATACTTTCAGAAACCAAATGATCAAAGTTAGAAAACGTCATTAATACGTTTCGGTTTTTTATTGCATTCAAAAAAATTACAGTATTTTTATTTATAAAATTGTACACGTGTGGTTTTCGGAACGATTGGAATCAAACGAGTAAGATAGTAAATTCAGTAAGTGAAGTAAGTTAAACAATAATGAGTAAACTTGAATAAATTCACAATCCATTTTTATTTTCCTGTATTGGTGACGTGTAAATATAATTATCCTAAAAAATTTCACTTTGTTCGATTAACAAAATAGTAAGGAAAAAAATAGATTTAATCAGTATTTTAATCGTAAATTTATTAGTGAGTATACCCTTAAAAATCTTGATAGACAAATGTGAGTGGTTTCGCCCCTACGTCATCTTTTCCCTTCTTAACGATGTTCATAAACTCTCTCCTTAAATAATTATCGGCTGTAAAACAAAGTCCTTGCATGATAAAACTGACATAAAACATTATTTAACAACTACAAAAATTTCGCATCCCATGAAAAAAATTCTTTATTTATTCTTACTTCGTAATTGTTACTTTATACTTAAATTTTTTTACTTATAATAATTTTAATATCCCTAGAGTATATATTACATCAATTTGTTTACACTTATAACGACCTTTATGTCTTAATAAAAAAAAAAATATATCGGATATTTCAAACATTTGATATCAAATCAGATTTTCATATTCATAATCTACTATATCTTTAATATAATAGATTATTGTGATTTATAAAAATTTAACAAAAAACTGAGAAGTGGATATACGCCGTATACCCTCTACTACAGCACTACTTTCAATTTGGACATTGTAAAGAAAATAGTAGTAGTATAAATGATAACTTCAAATATTGTCTCTAATAAAACATTTACATAATAATACAATTTTTAAACTCAGGTAAATAGAAATAATAAGATATTACTTTATTTTGTAAATCAATGGTGCAACAATTGATAATATTTAATTATTTTTTAAAAGAATTGGGTTATTGTTTATCAGATTTAGAAGTTATGAAAAGTTCATTAGGAAGCAAAACATTCTTTTGAATGTAACAAAAAAAAGTTATATTATTTGGTAGAGATTTTTATATTACAATAAACATCATTAAATTTAAATAATTTGAGATATTTTTTCCGTATAAAAGTTTTGATTTAAGATAATACTTCCTAGATTTTATAAACTGAAGTGAAATAAATCTAATACATGAATAATTTAATAATGAATGCATTAAAAAACTTATTTTTGACCCATTTTTATGGACATCTTTGTATTTTCAGAATTATATATAATTTTTACATTATTTAAGTCTAATATATATACAAGTCAACGATAGAGCCAGTTTTTGTGTGAGAAAACTAATGGAAAAATATAAGGAAAAGAAGAAAAAGCTGTGAATGGTATTTACGTATAAATTTGGAGAAAGCGTATGACAGAGTACCGAGAGAGGTTGTTTTAAAGTGGGCATTAATGAGTAATAGAGTCATAAAAAAGTACATTAACATTATAAAGGATATGTGTGATGGCACTTGTACCCGGGTAAAAAGTGTATCAGAAATCTTTAAGGTAAAAATAGGAGTGCACCAAGGTTCTGCTTTAAGCCCTTATTTATTTTCTCTAGTGATGGCTGAAATTACTAGAAAAAGACAACGGAAGGTACCGTAATGTATATTTTTTTTTATGCTGACGATATAGTGTTAATAGGAGAAAATAGGGTAGGAATTAATCGAAAGCTAGAAGTGTGGAGATCACCTCTTGAAGGAAAGTGAATATGAATAAGTAAAAGTAAAATAAAATATGTAGAGAACGCGTTTAAACACGAAGATGTGATAAGAGAGATGGTAAATTTTAAGTACTTAGGATCAGTTGTGTAAAAAAAACGGTGGTATTGACGAGGATGTAAGACTTAGATTTAGGAGCGGATAGGTGAAGTAGAGAGAAGCGTCCTATGCGATAAGAGAATTCCATCGTGGCTGAAAGATGAGTTCTATAAGACTGTAGTGAGACCAGCTATGATGTAGGGTTTATAATGTTGGGAGGTTGATAAGAGAATAGAGTAGAGAATGAGTGTAACAGAGATGAGGATACTTAAAGGAATGAGTGGAGTTAGTAGAAAATATAGGTAAGGAACTAACTTATAAGAAGGAATATAAGTGTAGCGTCAATCATGGATAATATGAGAGAAAATAGACCTATATGGTTTGGTCATGTTATGAGGAGAGAAGAATCGGAAACTGTAAGAACAGTTATGGAAATGAATGTTGAAAGAATACCAAAAAAAGAAATGGAGGGATGTTACTGAATACGATATGAGGACTACTGTTGTGTGCGTGGATGATGTGGGAGATTATGTCAAGTGGAGGTTTAAGATAAGAGTGACC